CGGGTCTGGGGCCTCAAGCTTCTTAGAAGCCCCTGGAAGGGTGTATCTTACTCTTGCCCGATCCTCCTATTTCTACCTCTTCCTGATAGGAAAGACACACATATACATACAAGCAACATGCTCAGATGAATTTACACACACACATTTACTTCACAAACACACACTGAGGAGTCCAGAAGGATCTGCTGCTTCTCCTGGAAATAGCGACTGAGGCAGTATCTCATCTGCCTATCCACCATCAGATATGAATTCTGGCTGACTTAATTTTCTCTCCTCTAAAGAGGAAAAACCCAACTGATAAATCTTTTACTTGAAGCTCCAACCTAATATCTGGGAGTGACATATTCATGGTAAATGAGATCATGTAAGCTACAAAACGCTTTATTGAGGGCAAACACACACACAGTCATGTTCAACCTTCCTCAAATGAAAAGAAATGAAATCAGCAGGCATTACCCTTTCTACCACTAACTCTAACCTTTATTCTTGTGGACTGTTTGATAAAATCATGGGAAGGTGGCCCACTGCATTCGATCTCCCCACCCTCCTACAGTCTCTCAAGGAGAGGGAGGAGAGAGCACCTCGCCTCTGGCAAAGGGGCTACATTTACTACCTGCGCCTCCAGCCTTGTCTCTCCTCTGATGGGGAATCAACTGACTTAGGAGTTGCAATCACTGTTCCTCAGCCCTGGTGCATTCTCCCTACCCTGATCCTGATTCTGACCCTCCTCCCTTAGGGCACTCAGTCCTCTACCTCCTCCTCCTTTCCTGCTGTTGCTAATGCCTGGGAATCTAGCTAAAGAGGCCTGTGGGGCTTCTCCCTGACTGCCCCTCTCAAGTTCTCCAAAGCTGGTTCCCTGACCCTGTCTTCCTCCTCCTTGCTTTCTGTCACTCTAGCCCAACACTCGCCCTCAGCATGTGTCTGTTTTCCCGCAATGGCTAAAATGCCTCGTTCTGTACCTCCACATTTCTCCTTCTCTCCTATGTCCTCCGCTGAATGAAGAGAGCTGAGTAACCATCTTTGTTCCACCCAAAGCGTCCCCTCCTGCCCAACATGCTCTTGAGTCCGGCCAGCTGGAGTCCCAGGCACAGGCAGCAAGCTGGGAGACTCACTGGGCTTATGGAAGGCTCCAGCCATAACTCCCTATGGTTTTGCACTCCGGCAGTTGGTTCTGGCTGTGAGCATGGCTCAAGGGTTGGGAAGGTTTGGCTTAACAGAGTAGGACCGCACTGCCTCTCTCCTTTGGCTCATAGTGCACTTCTAACCCTCTCAGGCCAGAGGAAAGAAGAGTTTCACAGTCCCCCCCCCACCATTCAATCTTTTCATTCAGACCTGTCCACAACAACAGGAGGGAGGGGGGTCCAAAAAAGGCTCTACAGTGGCTAAAGAGAGGTCTCTCTCTTCTTAAGGACCCAGAAAAAGATAGTGACAGAGAATCACAAACAGAGACACACATTCATGAACACACAAAGAAATAAAAATGCAGATATCCTAAAATACAACTCACTCCCCACCCCAAAGGAGGACAAAAAGCAAGGATACACGATGACCCTCAGAAACACAAACAGGAACCATAAGCTCCATGAAAGCCTCCGCACGCAGAGGCATACAGAATATGCAACAAGACACACAATTCACTCAAACTGTACTTAGTGGATACAGTGTCCATGAGCACTGGGCACCCAGATAAGCCCCTGCCACGCTAAAGTCTAAACCAGAAGATAAGAATCCCCAGGTGCATTTGAAACAAAACCTCTGTGTAAAACCCCAGGCAGACATTTAGGACCAGAGCGAAAATGAAAGTGCTACAGGGGTCACAGGCTTCCCAGAGTCCTGGCCCCATCAACAGCCAAAGGCCAAGGCCACAATATTCCCTGTATCCAATAAGCCCAAGCCCTCCTTTACCTGTCTGGGCTGCCCAGGGCCCTTCCCCACTCCCTCTCTACCCGGGAGTTGGGTGTCTGGGAGAGCCCCGACTGGGAAAGGGAAGTGCAGGCAAGCAGACAGAGCTGGTGACTGCTGGAGTTCACATACATTTATTCAACTGACACCAATGGGAATGGGGGGGAAGACAGATTTTTTTCTTCCACACAAACCATCAGACGATTTCACAGAGAAGTCTAAATCAATGCACACCCAGTGGACAGAGAACGCAGATAGCGGCCCGCTGTACAGATATTTACACATAATTACAGGACCCCCTGCCATAGGATGTGCCCTCGCCCACCCCATCCCCACCTCTCCAGTCCTTGACCCAGACCCTCCTCTCCCACCCCAACCTCATTGCCTTTAGCTACAATAAATATCCCAGGGCCTGGGACAGAGCAGAGCACTGAGAGGGCCGCTGGCCCTGGATGGCTGGACCCAGCCGGCCATGGGAAAGGGGGAAAGTTCCTTCAAAAGCACCCCAACACTAAAGAGGGAGGATGTTCCTCAGTGTGGTGGGATCCGGGGTTTCTGCAGGGATTGTGGAGACCCCTCGCTCAACCTCTCCGTTCAACTTCGCTTGTGTAGACACTGCTTTAGGCTTCAGAGAAAACTAACTTCCTTGGAGAACAGCAAGAAAAAAAAGTTGAAAATTTCTTTTAAGCACAAAGCGGATAATAGGTATCTTTAAATTATAATATTGGACAAGCAGTGCCTCAAAGTTGGGGAAGGAGTGAGGGAGAGGCAGAAAGGGAGACCTCTCTGCGCAGTTGGGTGTTTCTGGCGGAATCTGCAGGGCCTGGGCAGACATCTCTCTGGGAAAGCATTCCTCCCGGGCCTCTGAGAGGCGCAGAGGCTGGGGAAAAGTGAAGGATACCCCCCGCCCCTTTTACTGCTCATATTGGAGTGGGATCATGGCTTGCGATTTCATCGCATAGACCTGGGCCTCTCCCTGAGCGATGGAGCCCGCTTCGTCCCAACTATTGGCAAAATTATGAGCGTGGAGCCTGAAGTGCCAAGTCACGAGCGCCGGCCCAAGGTCTGGAGACTCTTCATAAATAGACTCCCTGAGTTCCGCTGAGACCGCAGGAGCTCCCGGGAGAGGCTGAGTGCGGGCCTTACCGGCCCTGAGCTCGACGTGGTCAGAAGTGGCAGCCACTGAGGCCGGCGACTTTGCTGGCAAACGGGGGCCCTGAGGACAGGAGCGCGTCCCCGGGGTGCGAGAGGCGGATGTGGCCGGCCACTGGAGCCAGGGCTGGGGCAGTCAGCATGGCCAAGACCTGGGCTTGACCCCCAGGACCCGCCGCCGCCGCGAAAGGCGATCCCGGGGAGCCCTCGCCTCCGCCCGGGGGTGCTGCCCCGCCGCCACCGTGGCCCATGATGTGGTCTATAGAGAAGGAAGGCCTCTGCCCGGCCCCGGTGCCCCCGGCGCCCGCACCACCGCCCGCGTCCGTCTTGAGGCCCTGGCGCAGGAGTGCGGTAGACAGACCAGCCGCGGTGCCGGCTGCGGGAGGGCTCAGCGACGCGGGGTAGAAGGCTTTGGCGCAGCCCAGCTCGGCGCCCAGGAAGGCGGGCAGGCCTGCGGGGCCGGGGCCCGACCCTGTGCCCGGGGCAGGCGCAGGGGCCGGAGCCGAGGCTGCGCCCGCGAACACCGAGGCCGTCGGAGGTCCGGGTGGAGGAGCAGCGGCGCGGCCTGGGGGTACCGACAGCTGGCAAGGCGCGGCGGCGGCGGCGAAAGCGAAGGCGTGCGGGTGCGGATGCGGGTGCGGAGCCGGGCCCGGTGGGGGTGCGCCGTAGGCCGGGAGCGCCAAGCCGTAGCCGTAACCGTAGGCGCCATAAGCGGCGAAGCCCGGCAGGAAGGCGCCGGGGTCCCCCGCCGCCGCAGCCCCGCCACGCAACAGCAGCTCCGGATGAGGGTGCGTGTGTGGATGCGGCGGCGGTAGCGGCTGCCGCTTGAAGCGCTTGCGGCGCCGCAGGAAGCTGCCGTTGTCGAACATGTCGGCCGACTCCGGGTCCAGCGTCCAGTAGTTGCCCTTGCCCGGGTTGCCCGGCTCGCGGGGAATCTTGACGAAGCAGTCGTTGAGCGAGAGGTTGTGGCGGATGCTGTTCTGCCAAGCAGGGAACTTCTCCCGATAGTAGGGGAAGCGGCCGCTGATGAACTCGCAGATCTCGCTCAGCGTCAGGCGCTTCTTGGGGCTCTGCAGGATGGCCATGGTGATGAGCGCGATGTACGAGTAGGGCGGCTTCACCAGCGGGCTCCGCGTCGCCGCGCCCCCCGACGGCGGTCCCGGCCCGGGCCCCGCCGCGCCCCGGGCCGCCGAAGCGCCCGGCCCGGGGCTTCCCGCTGCGGCCGCCGCCCCCCGGGGCGCTAGAGCGCGGGGCTCGCCGTCCGAGCAGCCGCCGGACTCCTCCTCGTCCTCGGCTGCGTCCGCCTCGGTTTCCTCCGGAGGAGGCTCGGGGCCGTGGGGGAGCACGTCCCGGGGGGCGCGGGGCCCGGAGCGGGCAGGGAGCTCCCCCCCACCGCTGCCGCCGCCGCCGCCCACCACGTCTATGTCTGCGTCGGCCTCGGACAGCGCGGCCGGGGAGCTCTCGGAGGACATGATCTCGCAGCAGCAGCTGCCCAGGGTCATGGTGCCGCCGCCGCCACCGCCGTTCTCCGGCTCCGCTCCGGCCGCGGCTCCGGCTCCGCCGCGCTGCCTCTGGGGCGAGTGTGTTTTGCGCGCGGGCGGGGAGGGGGCGGGGGACTGAGGCGGGGAGGGAGGGGTGTCCCCCAGCTCCGCAGCGACCCCTCGTGGCCCAACTCGCCGCTCTCACCTCTCGGTGAGCACCCGACTGGCTGCTGTATCCGCCGCCCCGGGAGCCGGAGCCGGGCGCCTGCACCCGGGGCGTGGGCGGAAGGAGCTGAGGCTGCCCCTGACCCTGGCCGGTGTCGGCCCCCAGTGCCCCCGGGATGGGGGGTAGGGGAATTAGTCCCTCCCGCCTCGCGGCTGCCTAAGGCGGAAGAGCGCGAACCCGGGGCGGAGCTCCCCGAGCGGGGTGGGGCGGGGCGGGAGGGGGCGGGAGGGGGCGGGCGGACTGCCTCGGCGGAGGGGCCCGGCGGGAACAAACAGCCGCCGCGGCGGGAGCTGGCTCGGGTGGCTGGAGGCGGGTCCTCCTCCGCCCGCAGATCCCGCAAACGCTCCGCTCCCCGGAGCCGCCGCCTGGAGCCAGTGCGCTCAGCCCCTGGATGTTAAGGTCCACGCGGGCGCCAAACGGAGCCGGGAGAAGTAGCGACAGCCCCCACCCTTCATCTACCCAAGGCAGCGCCCTGGGCCACCAAGGCCGAAGCGCAGTTGGAGCTCGAGCGGGAGCCTGAGACGGCCCGACCTAAGCCGCCCGAGCTGGGCCCGCCGGATCCCAAGCGGCTTCCGGCCCAAGGGGAGACGCACTTGAGTGACCGCGAGGAGCAAACTTGGCGCTCTCAGCCTCGGGCCTCGGAGAGGTGAGAGATTCCGGCTGCGCCCCTCTCCTCCCTTCCAAAGCCGAGACCCCGCCACACATCCTCTTGCTGCGGCGCGGGACCCCGGACGCAGAAGTGTGTGCGGGGAGACCCGGGGAGCGCGTCGCCTGTCCGTCGCCCTCTCCCCGAAGCTTATGTGCGGCGCTTCGGCCGCATTCCGGGAGCGCGGACCGACCCATCGCTCTGAGTTTGCCTGCACCCTGCCCTTTTCGGTCCGGGTATCCGTTTGTCTTGGGCTCTGTGACTCTGTCTCTCGCCTTCGGTGAATCTCTGCCTTGTTTCCTGTGGAAACCCTGCATTTGTCTGGGTGTCTCTTCGTGGGTCCGAGAATCCCTCGCTCCATTTCCCTACCCCCAGTCGCACTGCAGGGCTGCTCCCCCTTTCTGGCCGGACTTGTAGGCTCTACGGACCGGCCACAGGACCCCGACAGACACCTTCCTCAATGAACCCTGACCTCAGCCCCAGGCCCGCGTTGTCTCGTCTCTCAGGAGCCCGTGCACACAAGGTTGGTCCTGTGCCCTTCTTCTTACGAGCCGGGTTTCTGCCCAGCCCATTAGCCTCCTTTCTCCCCTGGTCAGGAACCCAGCCACCAGTAGACTGGGCCCATCTCAACCGTGAGCGGTGACAGGGGTGGTAGGCGCTGGTGGTGGGCAAGAACTGAGCTGATAGACGGGCTGCTGCCCCGCCAGCGCCGCGCAGTGGTCAGATCTCCGGCAGGCGAGGCCCGAGACCCAGCTGCCCTCAGCTGTCTCAAGGCTGTATGACAATCAGCAAGGTACTTTCCCTACCCAGCCTCAGTTTCCTGCTTTGCCTAGTAGTTAAGAGCAGGAACCCTGAAATTAGGCTGCTGGGATTCTGGTCCTGGCTTGCTTATTTACGAGCTCTGTCATCTTGGATACATTTCTTAAACTCTTTTTGCTTCTGTTTCTCCCTCTGTAAAAATGAGATTTAAAAGCGCACCTACCTTCATGACTAATACCTAAAAGTAGCTATATCACTCTAGGCTACTTATGAAGAGGATATTGAGAGCACTTTGCAGACTCTTGGGGAGAGAGAAAGCAGGTGGGGGTGTAGTCTCCCACCTGGATCTCAAGCTATGGTCTAGCCCTCCACTGGGTTACCCGTATTGGGGTAACTGGGTTATCTAACCCTCTCTGGTCACTATGCTGAATCAGATCCCCTATAGATAAGTGCTGGAAGCAGGGTGTGAGGGATCGCCAGGCCCCTGCAAGCTGTAGTTCAGCAGGATTGTTGTGAGGGTGGATACATTCTTTCATCTAACAGTTTCCAGCCTATGGAATAATCTAGTGTAAATCCAAATTTCCCATTCCACAACCAGAGGCCCAGAGGGGGGTGGGGTGGGGCAACCAGAGGCCCAGAGAAGGGAAGAGACTCACCTAGGCTCCTACAAGATAGAGCAGGGCCAGGTGCTTGTCACTTAATCTTCATGATAGAGGTCTCCATCCTCTCAAGCCATCTGGCTAAGAGCAGAGGAGAGTGGAAGCAGGTCTGACTGCCCCTGTCCTGGGGGAGAAAGTCCTCTGTTCCCCCTACACACACTCCTCAGACCAAGGGGATCCACCTGGTATGCAGGGTCTGCATAAATCCACCTGGTATGCAGTCTGCACAGTTTATGCAGACTGTGGCCGGTCCGTAGAGCCTACAAGTCCGGCCAGAAAGGGGGAGCAGCCCTTTCGCTACCTCCTTCGCTACTCCTTCCTGTCCTCAGGAAGATGAGAAGAGGTCCAGTCCTCAAACCATGGACAAGCAATTGGGCAGGGGTAGTGGCCCTTTTCTAGGTGATAAGGCCCTCCAGAGAAAAAGGTGGGGGGCGAGGGTTGGAAAGAAGTTTTTTGCATGAGTCCAAATAAACTCACATATCTAAGGTTGCTAGATTTAGCAGATTTATTTTATCTGGCAACCCTACACCTACCCCAAGCTTGTGTATTACTTCGTGGAGCTCTCTCTGGTACTCACAGGTAGCCCAAACTGTCTACGGCATATCAGCTCCAGCCCGGTTCTGCCCTGCTAGTATCTAAGAAAATGGAGAGGAAAATCAACATTGGCCTCAGCTTACTACACCTCACCTTCTGAATGTCTTCATTTCTAAAATGGCAGGCGTTCGCCAGTCCCTTCCTCCCTTGCCAGCACTTTCTGGCTCCCCAGGCTCCGGCCTCCTGCCCAGCTTCAGGGTCAGGCTGGCTGAGACATTTGCTGCCCACATCTCCTGGGTTCTGAAGGTCCAGGCAAGACTCTACAGAGCCGCCGTGGCTGTGGGCTCTTGCCTCTGCCTGGTTCTGCTTCACACTCGCTGCTTGCTGAGGCCCAGGTTGGGGGGAAGGGATACAGGCCCTCAGTCCCTGTTCTGCAGTGTGGGGGCGGGACATGATCTTAAGGAATCCTGGACCCTTCAAACACACACTTTTACAGGAGTGCAAACAGGCTCTGGAAATCATGTGACTTGGCCAGGCTCTTGAAGCTCCCCACGCTACTCCCAGGGTTGGGTTGGACCCAGGTGTCAAGACTCAGAGGCCAGAACTCCTTTACTTATCCAAATAACTCTGCGTAGCCCCTCACCAAGCTCGGGAGAGGTGTTTCTAGGAACCTCTCATCCCTCCCAAGGTTTTGGTGTAAATCTAGAAGGGCCAGTTTGTGTTGAACAACACCAGGAGTAGGTGAACTGGGGGCTGGGAGAAGGTCGAGGGGGACCTTGGGAATTTATTTCGTTTTCTGCACTTCTCCGCTGGCACCAGCCTTTCCCACCTGTGGGCTCAGCCTCTTCCAAACCTTCCGGTCACATTTGCTATCTGGGTGACTCTGTCACTTCCCTCCAAGGAAAATCTATGCTTCAGCGCCCATGCCGGAAGCTTCCAAGAAGCAGAAGGCAACAGGCTCTGGGGGCCTTGGCTACAGTGTCCCTAGTAGGGTCTGGCCTTCTCCTTCCTCTGCCTTACTATTTCGCTACCTCCTTCGCATAGCCAAGAAACAACTGGAAGGAGGCTTTTGGGGTCGCATGTTGGGAGGGGGGTCCACCCCAAAATGCCCGGACAGCCAGGGAGTTGTTGCATGTTTATTGTGATGTGTTGCTGGCTATCAGTGGTGTCCCTCCCTTTATGGCTCCTCCCTTGGCTTCTTATGGTCGCCGTAGACGTGCTGTTCTCGACTTAGGGAAAACGACAGCTATCAGATGGTTTTGAGAATATAATGAAGTCAATCGCGAAAGTGGCGAAGAGCGGCGCTGAGCGAGCAGGAGGCGGGACGCGGAGCGGACCGACCTCACGCGCGGCCTCCCCGCCGGATGAATTCTGCGAGCACAGTACGGCCTCAGCCGGGCAGGGGGACACCACGCCCGCACACTTCTCCAATTTTATTCACAAACCTTGCCAGTCTCGGGGAAAGCTGCGAGACCCGCGCAGCCGCCCCCTCTTTCCGTTCCTCCATCGGCTGCAGCTCGGGTGTGGGGGATGGGGGCGACAGTTGTTTGGCGGAAGCCGGGGCATCTCCGCTTGTTCCAGAGCGATCGGCTCCCTTGGCCCGGGCGGGAGGCGGGAGATTCCAGATCAGGAGACCTGAGAGGAAGAACCTCAGGCGGCGGGGCTCCCCACACACAGGAGCAGGGCCCCGGGTCAGAGTTCAGAGAGAGGCCGGACCCACAGCAAGCAGAGAAATGACAGGGCTCCCCGCCTGTGTGCCTTCGCCCCAGCCCACCACCCGTCCTCCCCCAAGCGCCTCTGAACTGCTCCCCACACCTCCACGTACCCCCCACTTCTCAGAAAAAAATGTCTTTCTCTTCTTTCACCATGCCTGGCCACAGCCGCCTCCCGGCACCCCCATCCTGGGACTACGTAGTGGGGGGGCTCCCTTGAGCCCCAGCACCGAGCAGCGGTTGAGACCCGAACGAGCTGCGGAGCCGGTCGACTCTGGTTCGCGGGAAGAGGGTTGCGGGCCCAGGCAAGGGTGAAAACAGCGCGGCTCCGCAGCCGCCCAACCTGGGGCTCTGGCTTCGCAGCGACCGCGGTGCGACAGGCTCCCCTCGCAGGGGAGACGCACAGCTGGGGGCAAGGGAGAGGGGACGCTTCCAGGTGTGTCGGAGCGTCAGCCTCAGGTCTGAGTGCCCCTACTGTCTAAGTGCGTCCCGGGTTTTTGCGAACGAGGGTCTGTTTCTCCTCCCTCCGCGTGCGTGTGCCCCTCCGGACGCCGGTGGCTCTGTGTGTCCGACCCGCGCCTGTCCCGAGTGCTCCCCTGCCAAACGCACGATGGGTGCGGGGACTGCCCTGGAAGCCTCGCCGGCCAAAACCACCGCTCTGCCCCAGCGCCGGAAGCGGCGCGACGTGGCTGGGACTGCGAACCCACTCCAGGTCCGCAGCGTGACCCTGGCGGGGAAGGAGGATGTGTGAGGGTGCAAGCCTGGGTGTGGGTTTGGGACGAGAGCCGGGGGAGAGAGAGGAGAGCGCACGGGCACGGCGCGGCGGAGAGCCGGGAAGAGTGTAGCGGCGGCCTCCTGCCCACCAACTGGAGGCCACCCGCTGGAGCAGCAAGACCTCGGGACCCCGACGCCCTTCCGCAGCCCTGAAGTGGGGCAAGGCGGGAGGGAAGGGAGGAGGGGCCCAGCCGTCCGAACCCGGTAACCGGCGCAACACGCACATGCGCGCGCCGTCGCGTTTAGCCTTTCGGAGCCCCAGGCAGGGTTGCTGGTGAAACCGTAAGCCCCTGCGTGGTTGGGGAAATGATGCCGGGTGCCTGACCCCTCTGGGATGCGGAGCCGCGTAAGCCCCACCGAAGCAGAGCGAGGGGACCAGAGGGCGTCTCGGCCTTGCCATGTAGACCCGGTGACCGATTCCTGGGGAACAGCGACCTCTGGAGGAGCGGCGCGTCCACGCAGAGAGTCAGGAACTGGACGACCAGGTCTAGGACCAGAGGGCCCTTTCTCCACCCCACCCCTTTGGCAAACTCATCCAGAGACTCATAACCTCCGGACTCTTCGCGCATGCTTGCTTCCTTTCCCAACCTGTACTAATGCTTGAAATCCTTTCAGAGATCCCGCCTCCTCCAGAAAGAAGGCTTCTCAGGAGCCCAAAGCATCTTGCCCTCTTCCTGCTCTGAGCTCCTCCTAACTGAAAGCCTGAACCCTTGACAACAGCGCTTGCATCCTGCTCTGCACAGCCGACCTGCTTCCTGCCTCGCCGTTCTCCAAAAGACCATTAATCCATACACTCCACCCACCCTTTGCATTGTATGCTGGGTGTGCTGTTTTTCTTTCCCTCCAGTAAATAAAAGACTTAAGTCATTTATCCCAAAATTGAACTGTAGGTCTTAAAAGTCCGTTTACCAGAGAGGGAAACCCAGAGGGAAGGCTGACTTGCCCAAGGTCACACAGCAAATTGGTAGCAAAGGCGGAACTAGATCCCTAACCTCTCATTTCCCAAGCCCAGAGCCCTCTCCATTTCACCTGGATGTGGGGAAGGGCTCATTTTGAGGGGTGAGGCCTGGTTGGGGGAGTCGACATAAGGAGAGGGGAAATACAGGAGAGAATGGGGTAGAGGGGGTCACCGCTCCAGGGTGGGGCAGGAAGGAAGAAAGAGGGGGCAAAGCTGCCCTGGAAAGTCAGACTCTTCCTTTCCTCAACCCCAGCCCAGATCAAGCTACTTTGAAGGACTCTAAATGTCAGGGGTTGGCTAAGTGTCTTGCCTCAGGAGGTGGGTGGGCTGGATACAGCCTCAATTCAGGCAAATATCGCCCTGCCCTCTGCCCTGGGAAGGGGGAGAGGGGCTAAGAAACCTCTGCTAATACACACCCAAGGGGTGCTGCTGAGACCTCAGAGCAGCAGGAAGAGGCCGCCTGGTGCTTGCAATTATAAAGTTAAAGGAGAAACTAGGAGGATGATTCTCATGCAATGTGCATGAGCCCCCAGTGATAGCTGCCCTCAGCTGCTTTGCTTTTAGGGAATCCTGTGTTTGTCTGCACAGATAACCAGGCAGCCTGGCCCCTGCCTCTGTGTCCAGCCACACCTCCAACCCCTGCACTCCACTCAAAACTGCTTTCTCTCGCTCTAGACCATTACCTGCAGCTCACTCCTGCCTGGCTCAGTCCTCCTAATCCTCTGCCCATTTCAAATATCAAACTTCATGAGACACTTTCCGCAACAACACCTCCCATTGGCCAGGCTATGAGGGGCTCCTGCCTGTGTGCCCCCAAAACACTAAACTCCCTCTATTGTCATCATTTATCTTCCAGTCTGTCACCCTCTGTAGACTGTTCCTTGAGAACACTCATTATGTTGCCTTCATCCTCATTTTTCCTCCTCTACAGGGTGGAGATAATAATTGTACCTACCTCGCTGAGTTCTCGTGAGGATTAAATGAGCTAATGTGTATAAAGCCCTCAGCCCAGTGCCTGAAACTGTGAAAAAGCTCATCAAACATTTCTCATCATTATCAGTCACTCTGCCTCCTGCCAGCCACAAAACCCAACACACGGTAGGTATTCAGTGAATGTTACACATGTGGATACAGGAACCAATGAGTGAATGAATGAACAGTGTGATGTATTTCTCCCTCTTGTCTGGGACTCCCCAGACAGATAGCTTCCATCACCAGCGGAAATAGGTGTTCTTTGAAAACAGACATTGCTTCTCCCCCATCAGTCCCCATCCGCGAAGGGAGGAGAACACGTCCCCCTATGAAAGAGAGTCTTTCCATGGTCCCTGACCCCAGCATTCATTGGATTTCTCTCTTGTGTTCTCTGTCTCAGTTTCCTTCTTTTAAAATGTTGTGACCAATCAAACCAGCCAAATCCTGACAAAATCTTCCAGGGGCTCCCCATTGCTTATAAGACAAAATTCACTCTCCTTAGCATGATGAATTGAACATGTTTACAGTTTTGGGGTATCCCATTTCTCTGTTGGATTAGACTTCCCCTCCCATAGTCCACATGGTCCTGATGGGACTGTCCAATCTCTGTGTCCTTCACACTTACTTCCAAGAGTAGACAGGCAACCCAGCAAGGTCAACCATAGCAACCATTGCAAACCCAAGTCCCAGTGATTGGTCTAGTCAGGAGTAAGGGACCTAAGCCAAGCCAGTCACTCCTTCTACAAGATTTGATATATGGACTCTAGGACTTCAGGAGGAGTGCTTCTCCTTTTGGATCAGAAGATCAGGTGGAGAATGTGGTTTGACACTGAAGCCCATACACAGAGGAGAAACAGGCTAAAGAGAGAGACAGTTTAACAACAGTGCTGCGTCCACCAGCTCTGCCCAAAACTCGAATCCTTAGACTTCCCAGACATTCTAAAGATATTCTCCCTTTTCTTAAACTAGGTGTAATGACGTTCTGCGAGTTCGAGTTGAATTTCACAAACAGCAGAGCCATAAGAGAGGAGGATCCTGGGTCCCTAAAACCTTTGAGGTGCCATACCGCCCTGAACTGCCTCAAGACTTACGGGGAAAGGAAATACATTTCAATATTGGTTAAGCCACTGTTGTGGAATTTTCTTTGGTGGGGGGGGGTGGTGGTAGTGGAGTCTGTTACTCACAACTGCACTTAACCCTAATTAATACAGGAGGGGATGGAAAGATGCCCTATAGACACAAAGGACCAGTCTAGGGTCATTAGCCTGGAGAATAAAGGGCTCAGCGTTGACACAGCCCCCACCTTCAAATCTCTACAGGACTGACCTGGAGCACAGAGACCATGGCAAAAGGGAGCCTGAAGGCTGTCAGGAGACTCAATATCTGTGACTCCATGGAAGGAGAGCCTTCTAATAGGGCTGTCGCTCAGAGAGGTGATAGGTGACATTGATAGGAGTGAGCGCCCCATCACTGGAAATGTGTGAGCTATGGCTGGGTGATCACTGGATAGGAATCTAGGCACAACAGACAGACTATAAGTCTTAGAGATGGGTTCAGCTTATGCCTCCACCATGTATTAGTCTCAAACAAATACCTTTCTAAGCCCCAGTGTCCTTGTTTGTGAAGGATCCAGATAGCTGGGTTGGAGACAGAAACCAAGGAAATTTCCTAGCTGTCACTTCACAGAGACTCCTGACGCTTAGAACGAGCCAACTATGAGTCAGGATGCCTCAGAGAGGATCCTTGCTGGCCTCCCAACCTTGACATTTTTTAGGATACCTGCTCCAACCTGCCTGTTGAATGCACCTCCCCCTGGTTTGTTCCTGCAACTGGAGAAGAGCAGTGGAGCCTGAGTCTAGGGGCCTGAGATCTCCTCTCATCCCTGCCTGTGCCCCTCCCAGGTCTTCTGCTTCCTTATCTGACATGTAAGAAGTGCATCTCCTGTTTTGAACTCAAGAATCTGGCTCAAGAATCAGGGCTCTTAACTACTGTGCCCTACCTAACAATTCCAAAGGTGAGTGATTGCCATTCACAGCAATAATAATAACCATGTTTGCATGGTCTTGACCTGCCCAGGCTCCTGCTCATCCTGTCTCAGTCAGCCAGAATGGTGCCATCTGCTACATGAGCTGACACCACAGGTCTGGTCCAACCCAGATGTTCCCAGGCTACTGAGGGCCTTGTTTTACGAAGTGGATTTGGCTCCCCCTTAGTCACATGCATGCCTCTCACAGGGGGCCTGCTGCTGGATCTTCCTTCATCCACTTCCTCCCATGAAGCAGGGCCACTCCCAGTGAAATGGGAAATCCAAGGCCAGAGAGGAGCAGATCTTAGAACATGACCCGATGATCAGAAGGAAGTCACAATTGGGGATGAGGGATGGCAGAGAAGGGGAGATGGCAGCATTTGGCAGGAGGCCTGGAGGCCTGAACAGTGGAGGTCTGAAGAGCGAGCTTCCTACACCTGTCTCTGATGCCCAGGGTTGGGAGACTGAAAGGGAGAAGGAGCCATCACTCTGGACAGATTGATGGCCAGGGCACAGACCCCACTCAGGTTAGAAGTGGCAAGTGCCCAGGCTTCCCAGATCCAGAGGCCAAACCATCTGGTGAGGGGCCCTAGTGGGAAGTTCTGATGGGAAGGTCACAGGGGAGAGGGCAGTGAGGTTTGAGAAAGTGGAATTCTGACCATGGTCACCAAGGGTCCCTTTGAGAAATAAAAGTGGACAGCTGCCAAAAGAGCCAGTGTGGTCCCAGGGAGCTTAGTGTGCTGACAGGGACTGCGTGGAAATGCACTTCCGGGAACTTCCCCTGCAGATATATCTGCACACATGGGACACGTACGGGCTCTCACTGCAGCTGGGTCTGGAAGGCCGAAAGGTGGGAGACAGTATTAAGTGTCCACTGACAGGGGGTTGATTAAGCAAACAATGGCACATCTCACAAGGAAACAGTATGCTGTGTAAATAAAGAAGTTCTTTATCCATTGATCTGGAAAGAGCCCGAGATGTATCATTGAGTGAAAAAATTAAAGATACTTAACAGTGTAAAAACATTATGCTTCTGGGGCGCCTGGGTGGCTCAGTTGGTTAAGCGACTGCCTTCGGCTCAGGTCATGATCCTGGAGTCCCTGGATCGAGTCCCGCATCGGGCTCCCTGCTTGGCAGGGAGTCTGCTTCTCCCTCTGACCCTCCCCCCTCTCATGTGCTCTCTCTCATTCTCTCTCTCTCTCAAATAAATAAATAAAATCTTTAAAAAAAAAAACAAAACATTATGCTTCCAATTGTGTTTTTCTAAAGGAGAAAATATATTTGTTTTGGTTTGCATATGCAACAAAAATATCTAGGAGAATGAATAAAAAACTAATAAACATCTGTTGGGGCAAATAAATGGGGAACAAAAATGGAAGAGAGACCTTTCACTCAATACTCTTTTATATTTTAAAGCCAAGTAAATATATAGCCAATACAACAATTGAATAGATACTTTAAAGCAAACAATGGAATCATCTGAATGAATAAGGCTGAGTATGTAGAACATATGAGTAATAAAAACTGTAACTATGTGGTAAACACTTTCTATGGACTCCAACCTGAAAATATGGCTGGTGGCTAATGTGGAAGGCAGGGACATTTAAGCCCAATCTAGTGGGTGCCTATGGGCACTGGCCTGTAGCCCATCAGGCAGGGAAGTAGGCGAGTCTGCTAGCTAAGACCCCAAACTTTCTACCTTACCCTTTTGCTCTTTTCTGCCCATCTTTCTCTGTCTCTGCCTCTTGTCTTGGTCCCATCTAAATTGCTTTGGAAGTAGTGGACTTTTTTAGCCTGCCAGGCTGGACAGGGATTAGGATGGAGGAAAGGGTGTTTCACAGAAACTGGAATAGCTGGCTTCTCCTTTTCTTCAAAACCCCAAACCAGAGCTCACCTCCTCCGGGAAGCCTTCCTTGTGAAGCCCACCAAGCCCCGGTCCCTACACAATTCAGGAAGCCAGTCTGATGCTTAAGGTGGGGCCTGCGTACCCCTCAAGCAGGGTCCGGACCTCTTGTCTCTAATTCTCCTCCAGCCCCGAAACCTCAAGCCCAGCCTCCAGACAAGGGGTATCTCAGGCCAAAGTCCAGTGTGCCCAGCCCTAGCGAGACTACCCAGTGAGGGAAACAGGGTAGAATATCCTCACCCACCATCATAATGGCTTCAGTAGTTACAAAAGCCATATCACCCTGGCAGAGAGGGCAAGGCACATCCTCCCTCTTTCAGAAGAGCCTGAGCCTGAGCTCAAGGCAGAGGCTCCAACTGGTGAGTGACCAAGGTGACCACACACCCCCTCATCTTGTCAGCACTCTGCGTACTATATTGTCACCCACCTATATTTGCCTCCTCTGAGCAGGGCAGTGTCTGATTCATCTGAGTCCTCCGCTGGGGAGGAACACACAGTCACAGAGCTTGGAGAGTGTTGCAAATGGCTGTAAAAGACAGAGAAAGGACAGGAGTTGCCTAAGTGCTTGACCAGACCTCAGATTTCCTGACCTCAGCCCAGCATGCTTTCCTCTATTTCCCTCTCACAGAGTAGATCAATTCTTGGCAGCTGGGACTGCCTATCCCATCCAAGCCCCCCTACAATGGGGCAGCTACCAAGGGCTGCCAAGAAGAATGGAGGAGGAAGGGCGATCTGGGAGCGCTTCCCAGGCGAGGTGGTAACTGCAGCCAGTTTTCCTCTTCCACACCAAGCAACTGGGTTCCTCACTGGAGTGAGTGACTTTCAGCAGCAGAAGCCACTCCCAGCCCCAAGTAGCATCCAAATGGATCCTGGTCAAGCGCATACAAGGTGGCCAATAGGTGGCGCTTTCGTCTCCACAAAATTGATGAGAGAGGGAGGGAGGGAGGAGGGGAGCACACGGAAAGGGGTCTGAGTGGGGGAGCCCAGAAGGGGAGGAAGTAGAAAACTGAAAGAAAAAGGAACCCAAAACTTGTCACTTGGCTTGGAAAGTACCTCTCAAGATCAGGGCGGGGGTGGGGTGGAGGGGGCAGATATTGGGGTGATTAGAGGAATTTGGGGGCACTTTGTAGCCAAATTTCCATTTCCACTTGCCTCTTCCTCAGAGGCAGAGAATGACTTTGGACATTGGAGTTACGTGTACCTAGAGTCGAGTTCTTTTTTTTTTTTTTTAGATTTTTATTTATTCATTTGACACAGAGAGAGAGAGTACAAGCACGGGGAGCAGCAGAGAGGGAGAAGCAGGCTCCCAGCTGAGCAAGGAGCATGAGCCACCCAGGGGCCCCTAGAGTCAAGTTCTGAGTCAGTAACTTTGCAGCTTGACCTGGGTGAGTCACTTAACCTTTATGAGCCCCAATTTCATATCCTGTAAATCGGAGCTGATAATTCTAATAATGCCACCCTGCATTCCAGGAATAAACTGTACTTGATCATGCATTTTTTTTTTTTTTTGGTAATACACTACTAGATTCAATTTGCTGATATTTCATCGAGGAACTTTGAATCTGCTTTCATATGTGAGAATGGCTATATTTTGCATTCTCACCCCTTCTTTATCAGGCTTTGAAAATTTCATGAAATAGATAGAGTTGGAATGACTTCCATTTCTTCAGTGTTCTAGAACAATTTATATAACTAGAAAAATAGGTTCCTTGATAGTTTGACAGACTTCATGGGCAAAACCAACTAGCCTAGGTTGGCGCAATGGAGGGACAGTTTCTGACAGTGTTTTCGGTTTCTTCTGTACTAATGGGTCTACTGAGATTAATCACTCCTTAAATCAGTCAAGCCAGGCCAGGTTGTCTACCAGTCAAATGACCACCCCAAGCTTTCAGGGTCAGCATGAGGCTATGATTATATGGGAAAGTTTGTAACCTCTGTGGAATAGGAAGATTTTAGCCACTGATTGATTTTTTTCTATACCTTTGTGGTTTTTTTTAAGATTCCATTTATTTATTTGACAGAGAGAGAGCACATATAGGGGAGTGACAGGCAGAGAGAGAGGGAGAAGCAGGCTCCCCAGTGAGTAGGGAGCCCAATTCCAGGACCCTGGGATCATGACCCAAGCCCAAGGGCAGATGCTTAACCGGCTAAGCCACTCAGGCACCCCTTTTCTATACTTTTGTATACCTATTTT